AGCTGCCAGATGTCCCATCACTTGTCCTTAAACTCACCTTGTTTACAAACGCTCTCATTCTGTTGACTTTAACGGACACATGTAACTAACCCTAACCCACTGACAACTAAAGACCAGTTTGTTAGACATGAAGTGAAAACCCCCCTAACACAAGGATGCAAAACGTCTTTAAAGACGTCCTCTTCCAGGCCTGGGTCTTGCCTCTGTGTGCTTCAGGGGGCCCTGAACACATCTGTGCCCAGGGGCCACTGTGGCATGACCCATCCATGCACTGCAGACATTATTCTCCTGATGCTGTGAACTGAGGTAAACATCCGTTTGTTTGAAGCAGAGCAGCTCTGTAGCACTGGGCAGAACACAACACATCCCCATGAGCACAGCGGAGTCAAAGCAGAGACGGCTAGGCCTCATTTTACTGATGATCTGTTGAAATACACCTGCTCCTGCTACCGCCCTGATCCATGTCGAAATAGAACAATGACTCCACCACTGATGGCTAAATGTATGGACGCTGCACACCAGTCAGATCACATTTTGTGGATACATTACAAAGTGTTTCTTTATCTTTACCTTCACAACTTGACCAAACCACAGCCCAGTTGGTCCGATCCACATGTTCACGTGAACGGACCCGCAACAGCCAGAGTCCTCACAAGGGCTGGAGTCCAAATGTATTTGAAGTTTGCTGAACAGGCAGTGTGAGTTTTAACTCACTGACTTGCACTGAAAAGTAGCTGCCAAAGTGTGACTAAGTACCAAAGGGTGTCTAAATGAATTTCACCATTACACACAGTCAGACCAAAGGTTATTGGAAAGTTAGGTGCCTTTTTGAAGGAAGACTGGCTCAGGTTCTCTACTCCATCTCCTCGTGAGTTGAATGAATGAAACAGCAGCAGAATGAGCTGCGAGCAGCTCCTGGGTGCAGCGTCCACATGGATGTACACACAACTGTCACTGTGAGACTGTAGGAAACTTAGAAACAGGAGGATTTTGAATGAAGTTCTGCAGCCTCTTGTCCTCTAGTTTCAAAGCGGATCTATGGGGTTTGTTCTGGAGGGACATCAGAAATAGTGAGATCCTCAGGAAGCGGACGTCACACTGAACCAGACCAATGTGTGGTTTCATGTCGGTGAGTCCACACGTCACTGAAAAAAGTGCGATTTTTGACATATATGACATGTTACAAAATTCTTAGAAAACAGTGACAAATCCTCACAAAGGTCAGAGAGTGTGTTACAGACCAGAAGGTGATTTCAGACTTCTTGTTTTGGTCAAAGAAACCAAGTGAAACCCAAAACTGTTCAGTTCACTTGGTGCATGTGAACATACCCTCAAGCAGCAGCTGAAGCATTAAGATGTCCTGTGGTGAGTTCTGGGACCAGGGGATAGATTTGGATCTCACAAATTCTCCTCCACAGCTTCTATCTCATGTCACACGTTAAACAAAAGGAGTCTTAATCTGGCCTCCTTTAATCCCCGCTCGCTTTGCCGATTTGGCGTCTGAAGGCAGCGCATTAATCCCAGAGGCCTCCGGGCACCCATAGGGAAGATGGCTCCTTTCTCTAACGGTGTTAATCCAGCCCTGACTGAGTGCAAACACACAGAGGAAGTCCAGCTTTGTTAGGTGCAAAAGTAAAAGTTTGCTGCTTGTGTTGTTGCAGATAATTCACAGCTCGATGTGGATTTGTGGGGGAGATTAAAGACCAGCCAAGATCTGAGCATTTTTAAATTACTTAAATACAAACATGAAGCATGAGAGGGAGCGCAAATTCAGGGTGAGAGATTAACAGCATGTTTTATTAATGTTTGTGTTTCTGTCGGCGTGGAGTCACGTGGAGAATGTAGTGAGGAGGACAGGTCGCGGTCACAACGCACAGCTGCACAGAGTTAACATGGTAACCACTGACTTCAGCTCCCATCTTTCCTACCTCTCTTCTTTACTTCCTTGAATACTTCCTTCTTTCTTTCCTTCCTTCAGCCCTTCTTGTCATAGAGAAAACATCCAGGCACCTGGTGAACGTGAGTTTCTGTCTGAAGTGAGATCAGGGTTTCGATGTTCGAACAACAGCCACATTATTTCCAGGCTTGCGCACAGACACTGCACAGCTGCTGATATTAACATCTGACTAAAAACAAAGTGAGAGAAAGAGATCGTGTGACTGTGTGTCCGCTCTCCGGCCGCTTCTCGAGCCAGTGCACACACACGCAGCAGCCTTTAACAGCGTTAGTGCGCGGTCATATCAAGCCAGTTCATCTCAATGTGGACACTCACTCAGATCTGCTCCTTGGTGCAGTATAATGAGCCCAGTGTGTGATCGTGTTTCTGTCAAGGGCCAAAACAAGTGTGTGTTCGTCTGTTGTGTCAGAGATGGTTGAGAGTCTGAAGACATTTGTGGAACATTACAGATGTTTAAATATGTCATATATTCATACTGTAAAAAGCCGTAGCGTTGCACAAGTTTTACAAATTTGTTCTTTACTTCTAAAGTACATGGAAATGTAAATAAAAATTTAATAAATATTCCATGAAATCACAATCACAAATATTTAAGGAAGGACCCTGAGAAAAGAAGGGGAGGAAAGAAAAGGAACAAGGAAAGAAAAACAGGAAAGAAAACAAAGGGAGGAAGTCTCAGAAGATTAGACACACACACCTGACTTCACTGCACGCGCATGTGTTTAAACTGTGAGCTTCAATAAAACCCTGCTGAGGACGCACACACTTACACACACACACACACACACACACACAGCAACATACACACTGTGACACACTAATATATGTGCACTGTAGCATGCACACACTCCAACACGTGTACCGCCTCTTACAGCTTCAACTCCTCTGCTGGACTTTCACCGTGTTCTAACCAGGCTGGACAAACTGGCACTGCTCACACGCTCTTCTTCCTTATGACAAACTGGCCATACATGACCCAGAATGCACCTGGACAGCTAAGTGGTACACTGCAGTGCGGCAGTGGCAGCTAATGTAGCCAAAAGCCTCTAGCCTCCGATTTTTTTACTTTTCAAATGTGCTGACGCTGGCTGGACATCCTGTGAGCCCACCGAGACCAGGTGAGGGCCTGAAGGGCCATTGAGTCTTGTCAGGAACAAGAGTTAACATTAAGGAGAGCCTGGTTTATGGATCAAACAAACACAAAATAACTGACCAACAACACACTGACAAAGTAGCACTGCAGCCCTGAAGCGGGGGTGAGCTCAGTAGCCTCGCTCCATCAGCAGCATTATTAGGGTGTGGCAGCCATCTTGGACTGAGGCCGTGGAGAGTTTAATTTCACTCTCTGCTGCTTCACACTCTCACGCCACGCCTCCCCCCAGCATACGTCCTGCCGACAGGGATGGACAGGAGGGGAAATCAAACATGCCTTCAGGCTGGAGAGAGTTAAACAGTTCCTTGTCTGTTTTCGTCCTGATCAAGACTTCAGTCATTTTATTCTAGATTTCTGTCCACAGTCGGTGAGTTAACTGTGGCTTACAACCTGACGTATTCACATGAAGACCAAGATCAAGACTAGATTAGAGAGGCTACACCTAAAACTAGATTAAAGATTAGACTCATGACTAGTAGGGCCAGGATTTAAGAATAATGGAGAATAGAAAGAACTAGATTTGTAACTAGACAGTACTGGGTTAAAGAATGAACACCGACTAGAGATTAGAGACCAGAAGAGACTCGATTTAAGACAGGTTTAAAGACTAGATTAATAACTAGAGGCCACTAGTTTGAAAACTAGGTCAATTAAAACTAGATTATAAAGCAGGAGGACTAGATTTAAAAGGTGACAGACATGGACAAGGGACGCACACGCTCCTGGTCACACTTCAGATTGAGGGTCCACTAAAGCTGGGTCCTTGATAACAACGATAAACAGACACATAATTTGCAACGGTTAAACGTGTCTGTTCTGCATCTGAGCAAGTCACTGTACATCCATCCTGTTAGACCACAGCAGTTACCTGCCTCCACAGATTAAGGGCCAAAACAGGGAGCATGCACACATGCAGCTGAATGAACAGCTGCGAGGAGCATGGCTGCATGATGACAGCGTGGACAAGAGCGGTCACACGTCAGACACTCCAGAAGCATCTCAGATTAACAAGAGTGACATCCACAGTTAACAGGTAGTGACCTGTGTCGAGTCAGGAAACAACCAAACACATTTCCTGTGGATTCAGGGACGTCAGAGATGTCAGTGAGGTGCAGCAGCGTGCATCACTACTGTCTGTCAGTACCATAACTTCGCAGGATTTGTTGTTGTTTACAGTATTTATCAGATCCTGACACGTTCTTCTGGATTTAAAGGTCTAGTTTAAGAGGCATAAAATCAGTCAGAGTCCAAATGGAGTTTAATATGTGAAACTGACTTCCATGATGAACTGTAACAGAATCTTTTAGCAATTTCTCCATGTTTTTGCTTTATTTTCTGCAACTGTATGTCCTCATTTCCACTGGACTCTACTTCACTCTATTGTTGAATTGTGCTCTGTAGCGAAGCAGCAATCTGCAGCAGGGCTGTGTGAACAGGGAGGCTACTGATGTGACTGCAAACAACATTGATATGATCAATAAAAATGCCGGAACTTAAGGGCTAGTTTAAAAACAGTCAGAATTCAAACGGAGCTGAATATGTGAAACTGATTTCCATGATGAACTGAATCGGTGCAGCTCTTTTCCAGTTTCCTCTGTGCCTCATCTCTACTCTGTTTTAGTCTACTTTTGAACACTGTCTGTTGGTACTATTACTTTCAGTATTTCCACCATGTTTGCGGTACCTCTGGTCTGAACTCAAAGTTTTTCCGAGCTGAAAAATGGGCAGGAGAAAGGATAAGGAGAGAAGGAAAGGAAACAAGGGAAGGAGCAGGACATTTTCCAGCTGGAAACTTGGATGCCGACACATTTAGGAACAACTCCCATGTTTCACGCAGAGACCCGGACCCCTTGTCCACCACAAAAACCTGCTCCTGCTGTGTGCGCCTACCTTTAAACGAGTCCGCCCGTGCCCCAGTGTGTCCCAGTGAAACCAGCAGGAGAGCCGCGGAGAGCAGGAAAGTTCCAGTCCGCTCCATGTTCGGAGCGGGGGAAAACTACCGACAACTCCTCTCACGCTTCTTGTTCTCCCCTCCTTCTCTTCTGCGGTTTCCTGTCTGTGGCTCCGACACACACACACACACACACACACACACACACACACAGCTCACGGAGCGACGTAACGACACATGGATAGACGGGTTCGAGGGTCTCGGTCTCTCCGGTTTCTTTTCCCTCCGCTTCTCCTTGGAAAGACCGAGCGGCCGCTGACGTCACAGGGGCGATCGACTTGAGAAGGACACGAGAGAGAGAGGGTGGGTGGGGGGTGGGGGTGGGTCGTTTCATTTATTTATTCGGTAATTTATTGACCTTACTGATTAGCCAACTTTAAAACGTTTTCTTTGTGTTTTCATTTTACATGATCTTTTTCTTTAATTCATTTTAGGTAATTGTATCCTAATTTTACTTCATGTATTTTATTTCTATTAGCTTAATGTATTAACTTCTTTAATTTTTATAATTTATGTATAATTCGATTTTATTTAATTGATTTAAATCTTTACATTTTGTTTACATATTTGACATTTTAAATGTTTAGTATTTTAAATGTATCTACACAGCACAATTTTTAACCTGTTTTGTATACTTGACTTAACATGAATTTATTTGCTTCGTTTTATTGACTGGTTTAATTTATATAATTTTTGTTAATATTTTATGTACTTAATATTTTACTCAATAATGTAATTAAAAAATGTTTCTGTACGCATTTCCATTTTTAGTTTATATATATATTTTAATACACTTTCCTTTATTTTTATTCCATACCTACACCTAATTATAATTTTATAGTTTGATATGACTTGTATTACTATTATTGTTGTTTTCTACATTTTTCTCAACTTATATATTATTAATTTAACTGTATATTAATTAATTGTGTCACTTTTGTGTTAGGGTCCTGCTGTTTGTAAGCCAAACACGCAGCAGCTTCGTTCACTTACCTGACGATGCTGCCACCTGCTGGCCTAGCTCGCTACTACATCCGCTAACAAAACCGTGTGGAAACGTTCCCAGTGGCCTGGACCGGTGCTATTTCAGGATATGAAACGTATGCATGTGTGTGTACGTGTTGATACACGAATCTGTAGGAAAGCTGTTGTTTTGTGTCGTTTGATGTACAGAATTTTACTGATAGTTTGTTTTCTTCTGTTTCTCTAAAGTGTAGATATGCTGCTGCGTGCCCTCTGCAGGACAAACTGAGCAACAACAGTCGGACCCAGCAAAGAACTCCCTGCTGCTGCTACTGACAAACAAGATGGAGAAGAGGCTTAAAACCTGTTTAAAAAAGTACCACAAAAAGACCCAAAATAGCCACAAAGTTACAAAAAACAAGAAGATAACATTACAAAGAGACAAATAAACAAAAACATGCATCAGTATACTATACATCAGTATAGGCACAAAATGACAAGACACACAATGCCCAGAGACAAAACACTACCACAAACTAAAACATCTTTAAAAATGCCCTCTTTCATTCTCGAGATTCTGAGTAGAAGGGTGGGACCCTGTAGGCTGCATGTGCCCAGGGACGTACTGAGTCATAATCTGTTCATGGTTTTATCAGATGTTTATTTTCAGAATTTTACATGTTGTAAGCTACACCACATGGACAGCCCAGTCTTTTGTTTTGGGTCTGGGTTTTTTGTGGTTCGGGACTCTTAAATCCACAAAAGTGAAATCTGAAGTACCCACCAATGTTTTAGACAAGTTGTTCTACCTTCAGTTTTATGTCCAGCAGTTTGCCCCTTTCCAGTTTTCCCAGTTTGCAGTGGAAGAACTTGACTGCTCTGTACAATAAGCCTGTCTCTCCAATGAGCAGAGCCACTTTGTCCTTCTGTTCCTGTGGATCATCATCATCATGTTGGCCTTCTAAAGACATCATCCAGATGTCAGCACAATATTCACACACCTGTTCATGTTAACACTGGTTCATGGGAAAGCCTACAGGAAACACTCTGGACTTACAAAATAAAAGCCCAGTGAGTCATTAACAATGAATCATTCCTTCATTCACAAACACTGCTGACCTCAGCCAAGTGTGTAAGAATTAAACTGTCTGACATTTTGGATCCAAAACCTTTTCCCAGTAGAACAGAGCCTGAACTGTTGCACAGGCCACAGTTACTGTTTCATGTCTGAACGTCTGAGTTCAGGAAATAAACAGTAGCAGCACATGAACATGTGAAGAAAGACTCATTGTGCATGTGTGTTTGCTGCAGAGGTTGGATCGACGTCTTTTCACCGCACAAGCAAACACAACGGCTCATTTGCATCAAGCAGTGTCGGTTCCTGTAAAACAGTGTTCTGAAGCTGCTTTTTATTTTTATATCAATGTGTTTATTATGTACCAAACATTAGAAACAGTGACTTCATGTCACAGCAGTTTGGACATAAATCAACAGTTTTCTCACAAACACCAATCCAGTTTGATGACTCAGCAAAACCAATGAACTGAAGAACATTGAAAACTTCTGTTGATATAAAATGTACAAGAGCAGAAACATGAATTGACCCCAAAGTCTCCAGTCGACAGTGTGGACTCTCCAGTCCAGCACACAGCAGCTTCACTGCTGGACCCTGCAGCTTGTTGATGCTCAGGTCCAGTTCTCTCAGATGGGAGGGGTTGGACTTCAGAGCTGAGGCCACGACTTCACAGTGAGTCTCTGAGAGTCGACAGCCAGAAAGTCTGTGGTGACAGAAAATATTAACTTTAAAAACTGATCAAATCTGAAACGAAAACCAGCCTTGATTCATTTTGATCCCAAAGTAGATTGACATGAGCAATAGGTCAGTAGTTCGACTGTTAATCACATATGTATTTACCTCAGTGATGTGTCTGTGTCTGTGCTGGATGTCTTTAATGTGTCTCATTATGTGGCTGCGTCTCCTTTTCATCTTCCATTAAATGAACTGAACGACTCCTGTTGTATTAACACTATGATCAGCAAGTTAGAAGGTTGTATTATTCTAACGTCATGTCTGACAGTCGTGGTCATGTGGAGCTGAACTAGCTGAAGTCAGTGCTGTGGAAACACAACCACATTTTCTGACCTCGGTGATCATCACCACTGAACTGAAGCCACTGAGGCTCCTTCACTGTCACGATGAACCTGGAGCTGATCCCAGATGGAGTGTGCATTGTGCCAGCCATCTGTTGCCCTCTCTTACCTCTAACCACATAGAGGCACTGGTATCAACAGAAGCATTCCTGTCTCTAGAAATGTGGCTTGCATTGTATGTGCACCCACAGTCACAAAGACAAATGTTCTTACCTCACTGTTCAAGAATCACTATAACCTGGAGGGAGGCCTGTGTGACCACTGCATCATCCACTTGAGATGATCCCCAAATGGATCCTAACACAAATAAAGCCAAATTCAGAAGTGTAGTTCCTGGTGGTGCAGTGAGGCCTCGATTCTCTGGAAGTGCTCACTCTCCAGACAGCTTTTTGTCCACATGCAGTATAAACTCACTGTAAACAGTGTCTGTGTGTGTGTGGAGACAGTCGTCACTGAGCAGCAAAGTGGTATCTGTAGCAGAACCATCAAAGTTACACTCTAGCTTTGAAAGAATGCACCTGGTCAAGTGTGACCATCCAAACATCAGGGACTGCTATGGCTGCACAGCACTGACCTGAGAGCTCAACACACTTTGTTTCCTCCATGGGGGTTAGAGCATTATAGAGGATCTGTGCAGATGACAACATCTGGCTGCAGCACCACAGAGTAGCGAGGGCCCAGGAGAGGCTTGGAGTCTGGTGTAATGCCGATCCACCGGGTGGGCCTACAGAATGGAACAGCTAAACACATCAACACTATGGTAGGTGTCTTCCACGGTGTCCTTCTTTAGCCAGTGATGCTTAACTATGTTTATGATGAAAGTCGTACAAGTTGTACAAAACACAAATGTCACTGTTTCTTATATGGTTTGTAAACACACCTGTGTGACGTAACTGGTGCTGCTGCCTGGATCCTACCTTCTGCAGGCCTGTGTTATTGAGGGCCCAGTTGTTTAGGCAGTGGGTGCATCCTTGCTGACCTCATATCTGGGCCGCTGTGCTACAGCAGAATGTCTCCTAGTTTGGACGTTCTGGGCTCCTTGTCCCAACAGTCACTGATTTGATTTGATTTGATTTGATTTATTTATTCTTTCAAGCATATAAAACAGTTGATATAACAACACACATTTTTACACACAATCCAATATCAATTTGCTTATACCTAATACATGCTTGAATGGAGTAGTCAGACTTATCCAGTCCTACCCCATGACATCATCTTACCATCACTGGTTTGCAAGCAATAAATGATTCACTTCTGCACACACACACACACATTATACTAAAAAAGAATATAACAGTGTTAACATTCTTAAATCACACAATTGATATACTAAAGAATGGTTTACAAAATATAATCATTTAGCCTGTTCTTGCATATATCTTGATTGACACACACCTTTATATTTACGTTTGAACTCGTCAATTCTATTACTATTTTTTCAGTCCGCACTTAAATTATTCCATAGTTTTACCCCACTTATGGAAATACAAAATCTTTTTTTGGTTGTA